TTGCTGCCTCAGAGATCATGATCCCACCTTAGATCCCAACCCCCGCTTTGGTAAGTCATGAATCTAGGAGGAACAAGGTTGTCAGCTGCAGCTGTATCTTCCATAATAGACATTCCAGGTGCTGAGGCGTTGGAAGAAATCAACAAGCAGAGGCCAACAGCTAGTATCTGTATGGACCTATTTGATGACTCATCCTGTAATACTGTATTATATCTATGAATGCAAACCTCGGTTTTACTCATTCTGTGAATTTGTTCCTTTAAATGGATGGCAGGAATTTTTGTATCGTCTGGTAACTTCTTGATCATGCCCCCTACAATTATATCTAAATCATTGATTTAGACCAAGAGCAGCATGCAAGCTTGCATTGAACCCTGTCAAACCTGCCTGGAAACAGTTTTTTGGTTATGAAACAGTTGATAATTTTAATAAAACAAAGAACTGAGGATGCTGGAGATCTGAAACAAAAACAGGAAGTGCGGATAAACTCAGCACATCTGGCAGCATCTGTAGACAGAGAAGCAAGAGTTAATGTTTCAAGTCCAGTATGACTCTTCAGAAACTTTGTTTTGTCTTTCTGACTTGAAATGGCATTTGGCCATGAGTACAGAATTTGTATATAACACCATACAGTTTGCTATCAGTGAAACACTCAAGTGTAGAATTCAAGAATGTGGTTGCCATATATAAGAATCACGTATGTTGTGCTGGCAGATCTGTTGCCGTGTGGAAACTGATGAGCAAGTCATTTCTCCCAGTAAAACATGTGATATAGGATACAGCATATGTTGTATTGGCTTTCAATGAGACTCATGTTTCAAAAGTCCTGAAAACATTTAGTGGTTTGTCACTGTTGCAAGGGGAAATTTTCACATGCCCTGATCTGCAGGGAATAGGGCATTTCTGAAGTTTGTTGGACATTTGTGTCCTATGACATTGACAGATGCTCTTGTCTCTATGGAGTGTTTATTTCCTAATGGCCAATGATGATTATCACATGTGGCTGGTTACTGCATCTGAAAGTGAGCACAGGGTATATTCAGGGTCATCTGGCTCTACATTGGCTATATTCTCTTACTGCTTTGATATAGCATGCATATGTGACACCCTTCTATTGGTATTAATCTTGGTAGTCATTTTTGCTGATGATAAAAGCGGTTCAGTTTCCCATAAGCGTTACACTGTTCACCAGTAGTAGGATACAGTCTGGAATGGGTCAGCACCGCCACAGTGGAAACATTCCTTGCCCAACTTACAACTCTATGAGAATGTTGATGTTGCTCCACATCTGGTTTCCTGGCATTTAAGCAATGGAGAGTGTTCACAGGAGTTGAATTTGGTGTGTTATACTTACTGTTGGCTGCCTCAACTTCAGTAACTCTAGTCTCTGAAAGTGATATCGATCTAGGTATCTCTGACCTAATGGTGCAGGCACATAGTTCCTTGAAAGTGGAGTTGCGGGTAGACAGAGTGGTGAAGAAGGTGTTTAGCACACTTGCCTTCATTGATCAATACATTGAGTGTAGGAGTTAGAATGTCATGTGTGGCTATACAGGACATTGGTGAGGCCACTTTTAGAATACTGTGTTCAATGCTGGTCTCCCTGCTATAGTAAAAGATGTTGTTAAACTTGAAAGGGTTCAGAAAAGATTTACAAGGATGTTGCCAGGATTGGAGGATTTGAGCTATAGGGAGAGGCTGAATAATCTAAGCTTTTTTTCCCCTGGAGCGTCGGAGGCTGAGGAGTGACATTATAGAAGTTTATAAAATGAAGAGGAGCATGAATAGAGTGAACAGCCAAGGTTTTTACCCAGGGTTGGGGAGTCCAAAACCAGAGGGCATAGGTTTAAGGTGAGAGTGATGAAAGATTTAAATGGGATCTGAGGGGCAACTTTTTTCATGCAGAGGGTGCTGTGTGTATGAAACCAGCTGCCAGAGGAGGTAGTGGAGGCGGGTACAATTACATTTAAAAGGCATCTGGGTTTTAGAGGGATATGGGCCAAATGCTGGCAAATAGGACTAGATCAGTTTAGGATATCTGGTTGGTGTAAACGAGTTGGACTGAAGGGTATGTTTCCGTTTTGTATAACTTTATGACCCTATGACAGTTCTGACAGCCTTCTGTCATTGTCAAGTGCTTCTGACTGGAGTGATAACCTTCAATTATTGGTGTTTTGTTTTGAATTCCCATTCAACTTCCATTCAATGTTATCAAACACCCATTTCCTTCCTAATTGCCTAAATTACATGCAATATTGGTCAATTGTCTCATTTGCTTTTTGATATGTGTGTCATTAGACAATTATTTTGTTCATTATATTTTAATTGGGCATGAAATCAGTTGTTCTTTTGTGGTGTGGTTTTAAGCCTACATCCATAAGATTGGGTTCAAGATTGAGGAGAAGGCAAGATCAAGAACTGTCTTCAGAATTTGGCTTCTTTATAAACAGTTTGAGGCATTAAGACTAAATACTACAATACCTGCTAATCAGAGATTTATCAGGCTCTAATGTAACAGGTACATCATTGCAAGAAAACTTCATAAATTCTGCTGCTTAAATGCTAGTTTGTCTACTCCACATGCTCCTCTGCACATTTTTCTCGTTAACTCTGCCCAAAAGTTGCTATTTATCCCCATTGTTGGGCAGCTCTGTGAGATCATCATAAGGTTACTCCAGGGTTCTAAAACCCATTCACAACATTTATTGGTGCACTTTTTGCAGCAAAGTCTTAGTCATTTTGCTTGATGTAATGATCTCAAAAATAGCATCTTCACCTCCAAATTGGAAAAAAATCAAGTCTTTATTTTTTCTTTTGTAAGCTACGATTGCAAACCTGTCATCATGACTTGGAAATGTCTTGGCCACCTTTGCAAATGTGTAAACACTGGTCATGGCTCCACATGCACATTTTGGTGTTATGTTGAACTTTTATAAGGCTCTGATTAAGCCAGAACTTGAGTTCTGGTTTGTTTTTTCTGAAAGATGCAAGGGTCCTTGAGAGAGTGCAGAGGAGATTTAGCAGAATAATTCCAGAGATGAGAGATTATGGTCCAGGTTTAGTTTGGAGAAGTTAGGGCTTTCTTCTTGGAGTTATGAAGGGTGTGTAATAAATGTTTATAAGTTAATGACAGATTTGGATACGGTAGGTAAAGTTCAGCTGTATCCATTAGCAGATGGTACAGTTATAATTAGGTTGTCATGTGCACTCATGTACAAGAAGACAATCTCGCTATTCACGGTGCCATCTTAGGTACAAGGTACAAAATCTTAGGTTAAAAAGTAGAAAAATAAAGAAATAGTTAAAAGTTCAACATTACATTTCTTGTCAGTATAAAGTAGTAAATATCAAATAAAGTTAGAAGTTCCAAATCACAGCCCTTCTTTAGCTATGGGCCTGCAGTTGCTCCAGGCTGGGCTTTCCCCACAAGGACTCAGTCATAGAAATATACAGCACAAAACAGACCCTTCAGTCCAAATTGTCCATGTCAACCAAATATCTTATATAAATCTACTCCCATTTGTCAACATTTGACCCATATCCCTCTAAACCCTTCCTATTCACAGTCCTATCCAGATGCCTTTTAAGTGTTGTAATAGTACCAGCTTCCACCACTTTGTATGGTAGTTCATTCCATACATGCACAACCCTCTGCATGAAAACGTTGCCCCTTAAATCCCTTTTAAATCTTTCCCCTCTCACATTAAACCTATGCCCTCTAGTTTTGGACTCCCCCACCCAGGGGAAAAGACCTTGCTTATTTACCCTATCTATGCCCCTTGTGATTTTATAAACCTCTATATAGGTCACCCCTCAGCCTCTGATGCTCCAAGGAAAATAGCCCCAGCCTATTCAGCCTCCCCCTATAGCTCAACCCTCCAATCCTGGCAACATCCTCAAATATTTTTCTGAACCCTTTCAAGTTTTACAGCATCCTTCCCATAGAAGGGAGACCAGAATTGCACACAATACTCCAAAAGTGGTGGAACCAATGTCCAGTACAACTGCTACATGATCTCCCAACTCCTATACTCAATGCACTGACCAAAAAAAAAGCAACTATACCAAACACCTTCTTCACTATCATATCTACCTGCAACCCCACTTTCAAGGAACTATGAACCTGCACTCCAAAGCCTCTTTGTTCAGCAACACTCCCCAGGACCTTACCATTAAGTGTATAAGTCCTGCCCTGATTAGCCTTTCCAAAAAATGCAGCAGCTCATTTATCTAAATTAAACTCCATTTAACACTCAGCCCACTGGCCTATCTGACTAAGATTCTCAATCTCCTGCCCTGGGCTCAGACAAGAGGACACTAGGTAGAAGTGCGTGGAAGAATTTGTCTATGCACCCAGTGGTAGTGATCTGGAACCGGCTGCCTATAAGGAAGATAGATGATAAATAATTTTGAAAGGAAACTGGATGGATGTTTGAGGAACAAAACTTATAGGGCCATTGACGTAGAGTGGGGCAATTATACTGCCTGGTAATGACCTGCATAGAGATAGCATACTATTTATAGGCCAAATGACGACCTTCATGCTAAAATGGCTGTTTTGAGGTGCTCTTCCTGGGACTTGGACTGAGCTTTGTTGGAAAACTGAGGGCAGACTGCTGGGAGAGCAAGGTTGAAAATTAAAGTATCAGGTGGCTGGAAGCTGGTCTGGTGGGGTGGGGAGGAGAGGAGGGGTCATACTTGCACTGAGAGGGAGTGTTCTGCAGAGCGGTCGCTCAATCTGTATTTATGAGTAGACTTCCTAAATTGAAACAAGCGCACATAACCTGTGCAATATTATCGGCTCCGGGATTCTTTATCAGAAGTAATTTATCGACTTTAAATTTGTCATGGATGGAGTAAAAGAGGGACTGGAATATACAGTCCTGTGGAATAATACTTATTTCACATTTTGTACACCTTACAATGGAAATGCCCGCAGTAAGTGAATATAAAGGAGAAAGCTTCCCTCGCCGTCCTCAGTGGACTGGTTCAACCCAGCAGATAATGGGACTGTTAATAAAACTAAGAATCGGATAACACCATTTCGAAGTTAGGGGACAGACGTGTTTTGATTGTAGCGAGTACTGATTACTGAAAACATACTCTCGTTTTTAAACATTTGCAATGAGGATGGCAAGTCCTTAAAATGTAAATGTTGTGAAAGGTTCAAATAACAGGAGAATACAGGCCAGCGGGAAGAGTTTCTGGTATGGTTCCGAATAATTCCCCAGCACAAACCGGAAAGCGCATACCACGTCTCAACTATGCAGCAGGACCCTAGTTACTGGCAGCGGTTTCGAGCTTAAGTGCTCGGGATCCATCGTTATAGGCTGCAGGACTATTAACACCATTCGCTTTAAAACCAGAAGTGCAGCGAGTCACAGCATTTTCTGGGCTGAGGGCGGGATCCTTTCAGCTCAGCGCCTCCAGTCACCCAGAGCAACAACACTCACAGAAGTTGATTGTCCGGTCCCTCTTTGGGTAAGTAGTGACTCGGGCTATGAAATGCTATACAGTGGTCTGTTTTGATTACTTTCTGTTTGGCGGAACGTTTGGAATGTCATCCCCGAGGTTTTTGTTCCTCTTTTACCCATGACACGTTCCCCACTCCCCCCTCCACCCCTCCACAATGGCTTTCTGGCATGGGGAGAGTGGAAATAATTCCTGAGATACAGTTTGCCCTTTATCTTCACTGTATAATAGCCAATAAGCTGCATGTTGTATATCGAGCCAATTATTTCCACATATGATTTGATTCACAATTAAAGTTAACTTTGCCTAATTTAGGTTAAGTTCAAAATTGGTAGCTATTGTGTAATTGAATCCAACATATTGATAGGTTTAAACACACATACACACAGTTGCTGCAAAAGCTCAGCACGTCTGGCAGCATCTGTGAAGGAAAAAACAGTTAACGTTTCGGGTCTGGTGACCCTTCCTTAGAACGCAACAGGTTTTGTTGACTACATTTATGAGGCACTGCTGGCCAGTTTGGGTGTAACTGTTCTAAAACTAGATACTGCTAAGAGCCACTACTTCTCTCAAATCAGACTTCTAATGCAGGTGGCAATTATTTTCTTGTTCCTTTCCCTGCTAGCCACAGCACACCCCAATAAAATATTGTCATGGTACGCAAGATAACATCTTGCCACATCACTATATCATGTCATTCTAAACCATATCACACCATGTCATGCACTAACTCTCATCAGAAGAAATGGATAGAGAGATAAAAACAGAAAGCAAAAAGAACCATCCAGGTGCCCATCAATATTCTGGGGGATACCATTAACTAGAATCTGAACTGGACCAGAAGCAGATCAAGTTGGGGGGCACGGAGGTGGAGGCAGTGAGTAACTTATTTCCTGTCTCCCTAATGCTTGTTCACCACCTACAAGTTGGAAAAGTGATGAAATATTTTCCACTTGCCTGGATGAATGCAGCTCCGACAACATTCAAGAAGCTTGAAACCATCCAGGAAAAAGCAGCCCTATTCACTCACACCAACAAATTTGGAGGCAGCAGCACACTGCAGTAGGCAAATGGGAATGTCACCATGTGCCTGGTCCCCTCCAAGAAACTATATTGTATCACTGTTTCTTCAGTGTCGCTGGGTGAAAACCTTGGAACTCCCCAGCAGCACTTAGGGTGTATCCACACCCCAAGAACTACAGTGGTTCAAGAAGGCAGCTCACCCCACCTTCTCAAGGACAATAAATACTGGCTTTTCCAATGACACATCCCATGAATTAATTTAAAGAAAAGCATTGGATTTAAGTAAGGAGCAAAATATTGAGAACCAGATGCAGATGAGTTGGAGAAAAGTTAAAATGCATGAGAACAGTTGAGGCTGCTAAGAAGATCCATGTGCTAACCCTGCAGTTTATAATTATCCAACGTTTATTTCATTACAGCTGACCTGGTTTCTCCCCACCTACAAATGACTACACATAAAAAAAGCACCTTTCCTTCTCTCTTGGATGCATACCTTCCACCTCAGCACAAGAAACAGGTAAAACCCATCACCTCAATTACATGATAAACCTTCCAAGTAATAACTATTAATCTTCTGCAATACAACAATATATTTCCAGTTGGGATGTAGGTATGGAAATATAGTTGAAATAAAGTGATCAGTACTTAAAGCTTTCTTTATAGTACATCTATTATGTATTCATTAAGGTAAAGGATGTCAGGTGAGGGTGGGAACTGAAAAGCTAGAAACACTAATATTTTACAGAAGTATGTCAAAGTATTTTCTTAACATTAAACTACTTTGAAGTGCATTGACCTCTGTGAGCAAATTGATTTTTCCCTCTTATTTTGGTGCTATGTAATAGCAGTGAGCCCTCTTATGTGGCACAGACCAGATGGTCAGTAAATCTCCTGCTACATTGCCCCAATAATGTAGTCCTAATGCAGTATGATAGCACCAAATGTGACACTTGGGGCATAATTCTTCCCTCTCTGGAGGTGGTAACTGAAGTCATGAGAGGGGAAAATAATTGGGTGAGTTGGCCCTTCCTTTTCTTCCCCTAAACAAAAGTGTTGGGTGAGGTGGTATATTGAATGCCAGCAATTAAGGACTTTAGGTTGTCAATTAATGGCCACATATGGGCCTCAACTCACCATTTCTCTGATCGTTTGTCTCTCCAGCAGGCAAGAACAATAATTAGTTTCCCCGGTTGGAAACTATGACAAGATGGGGGATGGGAGGAGCTCATCCATGGCCCCAGTCTTTTAGCAGTCAGATACAGGGATGGCAGGCAAAGATGTGTCCTCTCCTGACTCTGACCCCTCTTCATCAAATACTTTCTGAAAGTTCATACAAATAGCAGATATAGACATTCTCCTGTCCATTGCATCAGTTACTCCTATAAAGAGTTCAGTCAGATTCATCAGGCATCACCCACCCTTTACAAATTCACACTGCCTTCCTCAAATTAGTTGAATATTTCTTGGTGGTCAGTCACTCTCTAAGCTTAATTAAAGACACTAACTAACGCTGTGTTGTTATTAACTTTGTCAGGGAGATAAGAACTGCAGGCTCTATAAGCTGCACAGCTTTTCCAGCACTCCCTGTAGGCCACCCGGAACAGGATAGGTTACGCTTTCACCCAAGAAAGTCGAGAGTCTCCCATCTACCCCTATCACTGAACTCCACCATCCACATTCCAGCCCAAATACCCTCTTTCCCACCCTGACACAATTTCCTTCTTTGTTTGCTGTGTGATGTTTGCTCTTCCCCTACATCCAGCCCCTGCTTGGCCACAGTCTCAGGTTGAACAAGACAATTCACAAACTCAACGTGCTCCTCAATCCTGAGCTGGCTTTCCGACCCTGTGCAATCTCAATAATCACCTCAATTATTACCCTTTTCTGATCTGTCTCGATGTATGTGCTGCTGCACTGCTAATTCTTGCTTTTGTCACCTAAAATAAAGCATGGTTCTGATGTCCTGCCATCCTATGTCCTCCATCAACTTGAACTTGTTTTTAAACTTTGCTGACAATACCTAGACAAAGTGCCATTTACACATTACCCCACTGTCGTCTTGTTACTGGCTTTTAATCTCCAGCATCTCAGATTTGACAATCTTGTTACCATGCTCAAAACCATTATGGCCTCGCGTGTTCCTGTCTGTAACCTTCTCCAATACTGCAACTGGCACCTTGTGCTTCCAGAGATCCCTTTGTCTCTTGGTGTCTCTATCCGCAGTTGCTTAGCCTCCAAGCTCTGTAATTTCTTCACTTTATGGCCCCATTTCGCAACCTCCTTTTTTTTCCTTTGATGCTTAAAACACAGCCCATTCCAAACTTTTAGTCACTCTTCTTAGTAGCCCTTTGTTGGCTTGTTGATCTTTGCTCGATTATGTTTCAGTGGTTTGGGATATTTTTACATATTACAGCCTCTGTATGTAAATACAGGTTGTTATTTTCTTGGTGTTATTTCCCTGCCCCTCATCCTGACGGTGCTCATCCATACTAAAGTACAACAGGATAACTACTTTAGCACGAAACCAAAATACTGCCAATGCTGGAAATCTGAAATAAAAGCAGTAAATGTTGGAAATGCTCAGTAAGTATGGCAGCATCTGTGGAGAGAAAGTAAATAAAAACAGTGAAAGAAGAGAAAAGATTGTTACAAATGTAATAAATTCAAAATATAAATAAAAGGAAGTGCAAGCAAGATGGAAATTGGATCTTAAAAGGGGCACAATGGGGGCCACCTTTTTGGAATTACCATCCAGTGTCCCAAGAATGTCTGAAAGACGTTAATCTAAAATTGGTGCAGAAGGTATTTCAAATGCCATTGCTGCCATATTAAACAGACATTTATATGTGCTAAAGGTGTCAGTGCAGAACACAGTAGTTGACTCATGCAAGATCTGGCAGATTTGCATTTTCCACCATTCTATTTTTATAATGCTATTTTAGAGACTAAAATGGAATTTTAAAATAAATAAAATGCTAAAAAGCACAAAAAAGATTGTTTCTATTTGATTTTCAGCATTTTCTGTCGTGATTGTTTTTCTTGTGAGATTGAAGTTTTCATTAACGTTAAGCTTCTATCTCCAGTCCCATTTGCATGTATTTTATAAGACAGATTATCAACTTTTCTTTAATATCCACACTGCAATCTAAGTTAGGTTACATATTCGCATATTTAGATTTTGGTGCAGCACAATGTCAGACCTTTATAGGGTCCTATTGTTGCTAAGTGTGCATTGGCCTTTCTAGTACATGTTCTTCATCACTCAGGTATAGTGCATGACATTGAACCATGCCACAACAGTTAGTCATCAAAAAGACAAAGAAACATTGCTAAGCACTTTGTCATGGAAACACATGACAACATTTCCTCCTTATTCAGCTCTTGCCTTTGTATTTAAACTAGTGAAAGCCACTGCACACTATGCTCCTCAACATAAGTAAAACAGATTAACTTTGTAGGGAGCCTGAAAGCAGAAAAATGAGAGAAACAACCTTTCTGGGGAACTAAACTTAGTTTAACAGCTGTCATTTAGACAGCTCAGAACATCTAAATTTGTAAAACAGACTCTTGTCTATTTCTCAGTTTTATTCAAAGGCCCAACAATGGGCACCCTCAAAAATGTCAAGGTAATTGCTGCCTGAAAGATGGAAGCATTATTTGCCTTACCTCTATGGTGCTCAGTGTTACCAGAGCAACAAGGACATAAATCTTGCCTTACCTCTCGGGCAATGGAATGAAAGCACAAAGGTGGCCCATCCTTCAATGAAGAGAGGAATAAGACACTTGATCACTTAATTAACTGAAGAATGACAGACCTTGTTGGTATCGGTGTAGTGAGTAAAAAGTGAGTAACGTGGGGGCAATTAAAGATGCTTCAGTCACATCTGCGCAGAATTTGTAGTCAATAAATTGCGGCAAAATGTCTTTTTAAATAGAATGAGTGAATTAGCTCACTCCAAACGTTGATAAATTGGTTTTACTAATTTGTTTTCAGCTTCATAAATCTTGTGTAACTTTGATTTCCATCTAGTTATAGATTTTTTTTTTTAAAAACAAAAAACAAGTTTGTTTAATCTTCATCAAATGATTGGCCAATTGATTTACAGTTGACTTTTGAGTTTTGGTTCAGCAAAATATTCTGCACTTTTTGTCAAGTGGGATGTCATCCATGTGTTTCCAAAAATTCCAAACACCAAAACTGAACCATCATATTTCTACTAAATACTTGCACAAAATGTGTTTCATGACTCTCTCCATACCTGCCACTTAACATTAGTATCCTCCCTCACGTAGTGGGAGTTTATTTCCTATCTTCCTATGTGTCTTCCATTGGAAAATAGAAGAATGAACGATTTCCAGGCTTTCTTTCAGAATACTCTTTCCTGAATGTTGCTTCAGAACAGCTGCTCACAGAAAATAATGTTCCTTTATTTTCTATTCATTCATGGGATGTGTGCAATGCTGGCTGGGCCAGTATTTAAAGCCCAGCTCTAATTGCCTATGAAAAAGTAGTGGTGAGCTGATCTATTGAACTGCTGCAGTCGCTGGTATGCAGATACACTCCTGCCTCCTCAGATACTGAAGCAGACCATGGCCAAATGCATCAAGACCAGCGTAATATCCAGGCTTGGCTGGAAAATGGCAAGCAACATCATGGTACTTAGATGCCAGGCAATGATTGTCACCAACAAATAAATTAACATTATCCCCTGACATTCAATGATAATTACCATCATTGTCTACCATCACATACTACAATCCCCACTATCAACATCCTTGACCAGAAATAGAACTGGACTAACCATATAAATACAGTGTCTACAAGAGCAGGTCAGAGGCTAGGAGTCCTGCAGTAATTAACTCAAATCCAGACTCCCCCAGAGTCGGGCAACCATCTACAAGGCACAAATCAGGAGTGTGATGGACTACTCCCCAGTTTCTTGTGCAGCTTCAACAACCCTCAAGAAGTTTGTCACCATCCAGGACAAAAAAACCAGATTAGCACCATCTCCACAAACATTCACATCTTTCACTGCCAATCCTCAGCAGCAGCAGTGTGTACCGTGTACAAGATACAATTCACCAAGGCTCTTTAGACATCACCTTCAAAACCCATGACCACTTCCACCTGTAAGGACAAGGGCAGCAGATACATGGAAACACCACAACATGCAAATTCCCCTTCAAGCCACTCACCATCCTGACTTGAAAATATATCACCATCCCTTCGCTGTCCCTGGGTCAAAATCCTGGAATTCCTAATGACATTGCGGGTCCATATACAGCACATTGACTGCAGCAATTCAAGAAGGCAACTTACCACCCCTTCTCAAGAGCAACTAGGGATGGGCAATAAGTGCTCTCCAGGTCAGCCACCTCCATATGCCATGACCCTAATCAAGAAAAGATGTATTAGGGAGGGAGTTTGTGACAGTTTCTAGTATTAAATTGATGTTGCAATAGTTAAGAAGTGGCATTTCAGTATTCAAATCATTAACCAAGCTTGTTGAATCCTAG